GACAGGAGGGGACAGGAATGGACAGGAGGGGACAGGAGTGGACAGGAATGGACAGGAGGGGACAGGAGCAGACAGGAGGGGACAGGAGCGGACAGGAGGGGACAGGAGGGGACAGGAGGGGACAGCACGTCTGTCCCCGAGCTCCCCCCGTGCTCGGGGGTGGGCACCACGCCTGGCTGTTCGCTGCCAGGCTGGGGTGCCCTGGGACAGGGGTGCCCTTCACTTCTTCAGACATTCCCAACACATCCCTATGAGCTGATGACTGGAGCAGGTCACAGTGCTGTGTTTGTCCGAATTACAGGAAATAATACCCTTCAGTGGCTCCCAACCTAAGGGCACAGCAAGTTTTCCAAATACTTACATTTTGGAGATCTTTGTTTTCTAAAACTCACTGTGAAAACCATTATTTTTTGACAGAAAGTTTAATCAAGTGTTGGACTGTCCTGTCCCTTTGATTTCAAAATATTTGAAGAGAACATCTCTTTCTCAAAGAAGCAACATGAGAAATGAATCTCCAGAGATACCTGGGCTGCAGGTACAGACGTGTGTCCTTGTGCCAACCAAGGACAGCCCAAAACTCACCAGACACACAGAAAATATTACCTTTGGAAAAGGAGTTACCTGATGAGTCATGCTGTCGATTTCCAAACTGAAAACGTAAAATAAAGTACAAATTAAAACACCCAACAGAGGTATTGCTAGCACGTGGAGAAACCGGAGCCCAGCCAGAAGAGAACCCCAGAACAAAGGGAGAGTAAGAGCTGTAGCATTTACGTTACTGAGTACACGAGGAACTTTTACCATTGTCACATAAGTTTTGTATTAAAACATGACTTTTAAAATTACATTAAATAGCCGCCTGGAATTAAAACTGTGTTAAAGAAGCAGAATGAAAATCTTACCCACGGAAACTAAAGATTTCTCTCCATTTGCTCAGATCAGAGATTCTGCTGGTGATCTCCTCCAGCTCCGTCTGTGCAGTGTGCTCAGCCTGCCGGTCACCCATGGAGCAGCGGGTGATGCTCTGCGTGATGAGCTGGGAAATGTTCTGGGTGAAGAGCTGGGAAATGTTCTGGGTGAAGAGCTGGGAAATGTTCTGGGTGAAGAGCTGGGAAATGTTCTGGGTGAAGAGCTGGGAAATGTTCTGGGTGAAGAGCTGGGAAATGTTCTGGGTGAAGAGCTGGGAAATGTTCTGGGTGAAGAGCTGGGAAATGTTCTGGGTGATGCTCCAGGCAATGCTCCAGGTGCTGCTCCAGGTGATGCTCCAGGTGATGCTCCAGGCAATGCTCCAGGTGATGCTCCAGGTGATGCTCCAGGCAATGCTCCAGGTGATGCTCCAGGTGCTGCTCCAGGTGATGCTCCAGGCAATGCTCCAGGTGATGCTCCAGGTGCTGCTCCAGGTGATGCTCCAGGTAATGCTCCAGGCAATGCTCCAGGTGATGCTCCAGGTGCTGCTCCAGGTGATGCTCCAGGCAGTGCTGTGGGGGCACTGGAGCTGCTGGCCAGCCGCCCTCCGACCCTCGCTGCTGAGAGGCACCGAGCTCCCTGCCCTGGCCGGGCTCTGTGGGCAGTGCCCCTGTCACAATGTGATGGAGCTGTAGGAGAGCCCGGCCCTGCTCTGCTCACTGTACAGCAGCATCAATGTTTAATGATGAATTTAATAAATAAAGAGCAGAGTGGGATGACGGCAGTGGTGGCTGCTCAGGGGGGGCTGGCTGAGGGTGGCAGGAGTGTGGGGTGGGAGCAGAGGCATTTCCAAGGACACAAGGAGGTCCAGGGACCGTGCAGGGGCTCCCCCAGGGTCTGTTCTGGGGTCCCTCAGGGTACATGATTGGGCTCCCTCACAGTTTGCATTGCACAGACCACACCTGCTCTTTCAGCCAGTCAAACACACAAACATTGGCTTAATTTTATTTTGCTGGTAACAAGTTGTTGTTTGCCTTAGAAAGAGCTGGTGCTGGGGTACAGGGTGAGATGTGGGGTTGGTGGGGCCAGGCTTTGGGCATAGTGCTCCTGTGAGGACACCCAGACCCCAGGCTGGGGCTGCTCTTGCCTGCACAATAAAGGAATGTGTTTGGCTTTGCTGTGTAGTAAACAATACCACGAGATGCAATACGAATTATGCTTTAAAAACACACATTAACATTAGGAGGAATATGCATATAGATTAAGAAGAAAATGATGAAAAAAGCTGGGAGTTGTGCTGACTTGCAGAAGCCCTTCCACACTGATAAAATCCAGGGAGATGCAGAGGCAGAGTACCTTGGGAAAGGATACAGCTGACAAACCTTTACAATAACCCAGCAGTGTTTTGCCTTTCACAGTGAAAGTACAAGAAATGACATCCAAGTCAGTAATGCCTCATGGGCTGCAGGATGCTGAAGCACAGAGGGCTGTGACAGCTGGGTCTGAGCTGTACCTGGGGACTGGGTGGATGCTGGCTGCAGCCCTGCAGATAAATGGAGCAGGGGCTCTCCCCCCGTGTTTGCTCTGAGGGCTGTTTTTGTGTCCTGTGGGGACCATCTCATCTCCAGGGCACCGAGGTGACCCCCGAGAGGCAGTGTTTGGTGCTATGGTGCTCTGCCTGGGGAAGCAGCTCTTGCTTTAGCTGCCTTGGGGATGCTCAGGGGGCGAGGCCCGATGTGTCTGTGTGTTCTGGCTTTCCACCCCAGACCCTCCTGTGTCCCTGCTGAGCTGCAGCCTGAGTGGGAGCCTGTCTCTTGTGTTATTGCTGCCCTTTGCCAGAGGTTCTGACTTGGTTTATTGGCATTGTGTGATGGGAACTTGCAGGGCCATTCTCTGGAGGTACCTGGGCTCACTCCTGTGCCTCTGCCCTGGGAAATGCCCTTTGCCTGATGTGCTGCAGAGGGTTCATTCAGTGCTGCCAAGCCTGGCTGCCTCCCTCAGGTGAGCAGGAGCACGTGGCATCTGCCCTGCATCTGTGCTGTGCCAGCTTTGTGTCCAAGCTGCAGCAACTGCTGGGAAACGAGGGCTCCCAGGGCTTTGGGTTTGGTTTGTTTAGAGGAAAAACTCCAGAGAGTTTCACAGAGAGAAATGATGCTCTTGCCATGTGTGTGAAGCCAGACCAAAGTGTGTGTGTTTGGGTGTGCCCTCTGAGCTCTGCACACCTGAGCTGGAGTCTGGGGAGGGTTGGGGCAGAGCCTGGGCCCTGTCCTCTCCCTCACTGGGTGTCCTTGGGCTCTGACACGAGCTGCATCCCTGCCTTCACCAGGGCTAAGGGCAGAGCTGCTGCTGCAACTCATTGATTGGACTGTCCAGACTCAGTGGAACACTACTGAGATTCCTATTTTTTTTCTTCATAGCCACTTTTTAAACAATTTAAAGGAAAAGATGTCATAATAAGATCTTACCCCAAAAAAGAAGGCTTTTCCATCCAGACATTACCATACAGCACGTTTTCTTTTGTTCACTGCTTACACCATATTGACACTTATTTGAAACTTCCCTTTTTTCCCCCTTCTCTACAGCTAATAATTCACAAGTTGGTACATCTGGTCATTGTTGATGCAATAGTGACAAATTTCTTTACTTGAAATGTCCTTAAATCCCATCATTTTAATACATCAGGTCAGCTGCTCCTGTGATTGTCCCTGAATCTTTTGGTTTTGAAAAGGGAAAGTCAAATCCAGCAAATCTGATCAGCAGGGCATTGAGGAAGTGCACCAGAGAGCAAACCAGGATGGTCCAGAAGGAATTCGCAAACTGTTCACTGTGAGTCTTGAAGGTAAAAGTTCCCTCTTTAAAATTAGCAATTTTCTCTGAAAGGTGGTGGATCTTCACCTCTGAGGAGAACAGAATCATGATGAGGCAACCACAGGAACCTGCAAGGGAGGGGGAGATGCTCATCACCTCAGCAATCCCTCAGCCATGCTGTATGATGTATGCTGCAGCTAAAAACCACATGGAGAAGGTTTGTATGGCCACTTAGCTTTAACAGGGATTATTTTTGGAACCCAAGCCAATGGCTATTGAAATGGGTAAGCTTTCCTAATTGAATTTGGCCCAGGAGCAGGAATATTTAGCACTGCTGCTTTAGTGCCCTGAGTTAGTGAAATATCTGTGCTCAGCTTCCTGTTGCTCATTGTCCCATTGAGCATAACGGGGCTCCCTGCGTGCCTGAACATAAACACCTGCTGAAGTCCTTTGTTAAATTATGATTGTAACGTGTAATTCCTTGTAGTGTCAGGGTAAATCTGCCTGTCAGCCAAGCCAGCAGCCCAGAGAGTGTGTGTGTGGCAGAGGGACAGGACCCTCTGTTATCCCAGCACGGCAGTGGCTCCTCTCAGAGACCACGAGCTGCTGCCAGCCTCTTGTGTGTGACTGTCACCCTCCTGTGTGTGTCTGTCAGCCCCTGTGTGTGTCTGTCACCCTCCTGTGCGTGTCTGTCACCCTCCTGTGTGTGTCTCTCACCCTCCTGTGTGTGTCTGTCAGCCCCTGTGTGTGTCTGTCACCCTCCTGTGCGTGTCTGTCACCCTCCTGTGTGTGTCTCTCACCCTCCTGTGTGTGTCTGTCAGCCCCTGTGTGTGTCTGTCACCCTCCTGTGCGTGTCTGTCACCCTCCTGTGTGTGTCTCTCACCCTCCTGTGTGTGTCTGTCAGCCCCTGTGTGTGTCTGTCACCCTCCTGTGCGTGTCTGTCACCCTCCTGTGTGTGTCTCTCACCCTCCTGTGTGTGTCTGTCAGCCCCTGTGTGTGTCTGTCACCCTCCTGTGCGTGTCTGTCACCCTCCTGTGTGTGTCTCTCACCCTCCTGTGTGTGTCTGTCAGCCCCTGTGTGTGTCTGTCACCCTCCTGTGCGTGTCTGTCACCCTCCTGTGTGTGTCTCTCACCCTCCTGTGTGTGTCTGTCAGCCCCTGTGTGTGTCTGTCACCCTCCTGTGCGTGTCTGTCACCCTCCTGTGTGTGTCTCTCACCCTCCTGTGTGTGTCTGTCAGCCCCTGTGTGTGTCTGTCACCCTCCTGTGCGTGTCTGTCACCCTCCTGTGTGTGTCTCTCACCCTCCTGTGTGTGTCTGTCAGCCCCTGTGTGTGTCTGTCACCCTCCTGTGCGTGTCTGTCACCCTCCTGTGTGTGTCTCTCACCCTCCTGTGTGTGTCTGTCAGCCCCTGTGTGTGTCTGTCACCCTCCTGTGCGTGTCTGTCACCCTCCTGTGTGTGTCTCTCACCCTCCTGTGTGTGTCTGTCAGCCCCTGTGTGTGTCTGTCACCCTCCTGTGCGTGTCTGTCACCCTCCTGTGTGTGTCTCTCACCCTCCTGTGTGTGTCTGTCAGCCCCTGTGTGTGTCTGTCACCCTCCTGTGCGTGTCTGTCACCCTCCTGTGTGTGTCTCTCACCCTCCTGTGTGTGTCTGTCAGCCCCTGTGTGTGTCTGTCACCCTCCTGTGCGTGTCTGTCACCCTCCTGTGTGTGTCTCTCACCCTCCTGTGTGTGTCTGTCAGCCCCTGTGTGTGTCTGTCACCCTCCTGTGCGTGTCTGTCACCCTCCTGTGTGTGTCTCTCACCCTCCTGTGTGTGTCTGTCAGCCCCTGTGTGTGTCTGTCACCCTCCTGTGCGTGTCTGTCACCCTCCTGTGTGTGTCTCTCACCCTCCTGTGTGTGTCTGTCAGCCCCTGTGTGTGTCTGTCACCCTCCTGTGCGTGTCTGTCACCCTCCTGTGTGTGTCTCTCACCCTCCTGTGTGTGTCTGTCAGCCCCTGTGTGTGTCTGTCACCCTCCTGTGCGTGTCTGTCACCCTCCTGTGTGTGTCTCTCACCCTCCTGTGTGTGTCTGTCAGCCCCTGTGTGTGTCTGTCACCCTCCTGTGCGTGTCTGTCACCCTCCTGTGTGTGTCTCTCACCCTCCTGTGTGTGTCTGTCAGCCCCTGTGTGTGTCTGTCACCCTCCTGTGCGTGTCTGTCACCCTCCTGTGTGTGTCTCTCACCCTCCTGTGTGTGTCTGTCAGCCCCTGTGTGTGTCTGTCACCCTCCTGTGCGTGTCTGTCACCCTCCTGTGTGTGTCTCTCACCCTCCTGTGTGTGTCTGTCAGCCCCTGTGTGTGTCTGTCACCCTCCTGTGCGTGTCTGTCACCCTCCTGTGTGTGTCTCTCACCCTCCTGTGTGTGTCTGTCAGCCCCTGTGTGTGTCTGTCACCCTCCTGTGCGTGTCTGTCACCCTCCTGTGTGTGTCTCTCACCCTCCTGTGTGTGTCTGTCAGCCCCTGTGTGTGTCTGTCACCCTCCTGTGCGTGTCTGTCACCCTCCTGTGTGTGTCTCTCACCCTCCTGTGTGTGTCTGTCAGCCCCTGTGTGTGTCTGTCACCCTCCTGTGCGTGTCTGTCACCCTCCTGTGTGTGTCTCTCACCCTCCTGTGTGTGTCTGTCAGCCCCTGTGTGTGTCTGTCACCCTCCTGTGCGTGTCTGTCACCCTCCTGTGTGTGTCTCTCACCCTCCTGTGTGTGTCTGTCAGCCCCTGTGTGTGTCTGTCACCCTCCTGTGCGTGTCTGTCACCCTCCTGTGTGTGTCTCTCACCCTCCTGTGTGTGTCTGTCAGCCCCTGTGTGTGTCTGTCACCCTCCTGTGCGTGTCTGTCACCCTCCTGTGTGTGTCTCTCACCCTCCTGTGTGTGTCTGTCAGCTCCTGTGTGTGACTGTCACCCTCCTGTGTGTGTCTGTCACCCTCCTGTGTCCTGGGGCAGGCTGTGCTGCTCCAAGTGCTGACCTCGCTCACAGCATCTGGAACCCTCCTGCTGTGGGACCAGCTCCATCACTGGCATATTTTGGTGGGTTTTTCCTCCCTTTTTGTACTCTGGTGTGGTTCCTGGCTCTGACTGTGTTTGGGGTGCCAGTGATTCCAGCCCAGCTCTGGGGCCCTTCTGCCATGGCTTCCTGCAGCCCATTCCCATCCTGCCACCCACCCTGGTGTGGGATCTCCCCACTTTATCTCTCAACTTCAATTTGGAAACACGTGTTTGATATGGCAGAGTCGCCCTCCTTCCTGCCTGGCTCGCTTTTGCCAGTTTAGAGTGAGCCCAGCAGAGCTGAAGTCGCTCTCCTGGCTGAGCAATGGGTGTTGGTGAGCGCTGGCAGCCCCAGCACAGCCCGGGTACTCACAGGAGATGGAGCTCCAGAGGTACAACCCCAGCACAGCCCAGGTACTCACAGGAGATGAAGCTCCAGAGGTACAACCCCAGCACAGCCCAGGTACTCACAGGAGATGGAGCTCCAGAGGTACAACCCCAGCACAGCCCGGGTACTCACAGGAGATGAAGCTCCAGAGGTACAGCCCCAGCACAGCCCAGGTACTCACAGGAGATGAAGCTCCAGAGGTACAGCCCCACGGGGCCGTGCAGCGTCTCGTAGGGGCTGCCAAAAGCATTGAACATGAAGAACCCTGCTCCCACCAGGGCAAAGACAATCAGCACTGCACAGAAGAGAATGACACTAACGTGGATACTTGCAGGGATAATTCTGAGCAAATCTGGAAAAACTGAAACCAAAACAAACACAACATTATTACACACATTAGACAAAGTTGTCTCTGATGTCAGCTGGTGGTTCCTGCTCGTTTGTGATATTTGTTTTAGTCCTGCTCTTCTAAGTGCAACCAGGTGAAGTAATTAACTAGAAATGGTTTTTCATGGATGTTTGGGGGCAGAAAAATTCTGTGACACTCCGAAGCATAGACTGGCCAGGAGAGAGAGAGAGACACCAGCTCCAGGGAAAGCCTCTCCTCCCTTCCTGAGGATGGTATTTGGTCCTTAATGTGAACAGCATCTTCTGGGCAAAACCAGGAATTTGTGTTTGAGGAGGCAGGTCTGGCACAAGGTGCCACCGAGGCCTCTCCCCGTGCCAGCACTACAGGGCTGATCTCCCTTGGCTGAAGGCTTGGCCCTCCGCTCTTCTCTGCCACTGGGACAAGAAATCTTTCTTTAGACTTTGTTTTCATTTCTGTTCATGAGGTCCCACAAAGGGTTGTGACATGGGAAAGAAGATTATGCTGTGATTATGGATGCACAAATACAGGAATAATTTATTCTAAATATTTTAATGCAGTTTTTAAGCTACTATTTCAAATTGTGGTCCTGTTTGTCTAGGACACAGGGATAGTCGTTCAGACAGCAAGAGAGAATGATTTATTAAAATTACCATTTGGCAAAGATGGGTGTTTTGGAAGGAAGTGTGAAATACCCTTCACTGCTCCTGATCCATGGGGACATGACTAAAGAGAGGTAACAATGCCTGGTGCTGCTTTGCTGTGGCTGCAATGTGTGCAGAGCAGAGCAGCCTCCATCAGAGACTCCTCCCTGTGAAGCCTGGAGCAGCAGACTGCTCGGCAGCTCCCTGCAGGAGCACCCACAGCACCGGGGTATCCAAAGTCCATTTATCTCCCTGAATAACTGAAAGGGAAGTCAATGAAACAAATGTCTGCGGAGCTCACGAAGCTCAGCAAGGCCAAGGTGCAGGACAGGACAATCCCAGCACAAACTCAGGCTGCTGGGGCTCAGCAGCTCCCCGTGCCTCGGCCAGAGCCCCCCGAGCCCGCAGGGTGAGCAGCAGGGGAGGGGGTTCTGCCCCTCACCCTGCTCAGGTGGGACTCCATCCTCAGAGCTGCCCCAGCCCTGGGGCCCCCAAAACAAAAACAACCTGAGGGAGTCTGGAGGAGGCCACGGAGCCAGGCTGGGAGAGCTGGGGGTGTTCAGCCCGAGGAAGGGAGGGCTCTGGGGAGACCTGAGAGCCCCTTGCAGTGCTTCCCTGTGCAGGATTCCAACATGGAACAGCACTAGTTCCTGTGACACTATCGGATGTTGTGGGAAAACGTGCAAAACCCTGCGTTTATTAATACAGTTTTATATGGTTTGTTTTAAGAAAACGGGTTATGGCATGGTATTGAATCCTCCCCTGGGCAGCTGCATCTACAGCTGGTTCTGTTGTTAACATTTTATATGTGATGTGTCAGGAAAAATTAATTCCAGAAACAATGTTGTCTTGAAAGGAAAAGGTTCCTTCATAGTCCAGAATGAACCCATGTGTGCTGTGTATGGCAGAGACCTTTAGAAAATGAACCACTGACCTAGAAACTGATGGGAATGAGTGGGAACAAATGGAGCAGAAGTTTTTCCCCAGCTGAACTGGGTTTGCTGGCAGAGCAAATTCATATTACAATTAAGAGATACAGTGGTCAGAAGGGAGCATTTAATGGGAACAAGCACAGAACTAAATAATTTAGCCTATTTTCCGTGTCTGCTGTCCTCAGACACGCTGAAGTGCAGTGAGTGCATTAAGCTATGGCTCTGTACTTTATAAGTTTGTCCTGCTTTCCAAAATGCTCCTGGTGAGCTTCCAAGGTACCAAGGTGATGGGAGGGGGCTGCTGAAGCCCCAGGGAAAGGGATCAGCATCTTGTTCTCAGTGCTCTCTGAGGTGAGTGCTCCTGACCCTCGCAGCTGTCACTGACTTGAACCTGTCAGCCCCAGAGCTGCTGGCAGCTGGACCAGCCCTGGCTTGTCTCACCTCCAGCAGTAAACCAAATCCTTGGGATTGCATAGACTGCTCTGAAAATCTGCCCTCAGTGCAATAACTGCACACTGGGATGGCACACAAAGCAATCAAAAGGGAACTTCAGCGGTATAAATAGACTAGTGATGGAATTCAGAGAGAACAAATACTAATACTACATTAAATTAGCTTGGTTTACTCTTCTGGGAGAATATTATATAGTAAATAATTTCTGGCAACCTTCCCTTGCATTAAATCACGGATTTGAGCAATTTGTCCGTGCTGTTGTAGCAGAACAATTATAAACTGTGTGCTGGAGTAATTAAAGAGAGGTATTGTACACACAGCAACTGAATTTTCTGCTGCCTGTTTGCGTGCTGCTGGATACAAATGTGTCTCACTTCATGATTTTTTTGAGTCATCTTCTTATCCTTGAATATTAATAGCTTATGAATGTAAAGTGAAGCCATTACTAATACTTTGATATTCTGTGTGTCAGGTACCAAGTCAGCCAGCATTCCCCAGACAGTCTCCCCCAGTCTTTCTTCCAATTAATGCCACAGATTACAAACTTTTGGGCTGCTTTCTATCTCAATAGCAGCCAGTGCCCCAGCTCTCTCCTGAGGTTTTTGCTGGTTTGGTTCATTCTCGACAGCACAGAGGTAATGTCGTAATGCTGGCACACAGAGGAAGGTGACAGAGATCAATTAAAGCCCCCAAACACTCTTCAAAAAGTAATAGTAAAAATCTTTTGGAATGTGGCTATCTGCGTTACTGCATGACAGATTTTTGAAGACATTAACCAGGCTGTGCTATATCATAAATGAAGTTAGTGGAGATCAGAGCCCGGCAGGGCAGCGCGGCTTGGCGCAGCCCGCAGCGGGGTTCGGTGTCAGGGTTCGGTGTCAGGGTTCGGTGTCGGGGTTCGGTGTCGGGGCTGGGGACAGCCCGGTCCCGGCAGGGCTCTGTGACCCCCCCGAGCCATCGCTACTCACATGAGAAGTGCGAGGGTCTCCCCCCGAGCCCGCACTGCCGCACCCGCTGTCCGGAGAAGAGCCCGTACTGGATGTCGCCGATGAACTTGTGCAGCTCGGGGCCGCTGGCGTTGACGAGCAGCGCCCCGGTGGAGCAGAGCAATGTTCCCCGAACCCACAGCTGCCTGCCCACGGCCGCCGCCGTCCCCAGCGCGCAGGCCAAGCTCAGCAGCCCGGCCGTGCAGAAGATGAGCTTCTTCTGCTGCGCTGGCATGGCAGCACCCGGGGCTGCGGGGACGCGACAACAGCCCGGGAGGCGCTGCCCAGCTCCTGGGTACGGCAACAGCCCGGATACTGGAGAGCCCCGGCACCCGGCCAGCCCTGTCCCGAGAGCCCCGGCACCCGGCCAGCCCTGTCCCCAGAGCCCGGCCAGTCCTGTCCCCAGAGCCCGGTCAGTCCTGTCCCCAGAGCCCGGCCAGTCCTGTCCCCAGAGCCCGGCCAGTCCTGTCCCCAGAGCCCGGCCAGTCCTGTCCCCAGAGCCCGGCCAGTCCTGTCCCCAGAGCCCGGCCAGTCCTGTCCCCAGAGCCCGGCCAGTCCTGTCCCCAGAGCCCGGTCAGTCCTGTCCCCAGAGCCGAGTGCCCGGGCAGCCCTGGCTGGAGGATGCTGTGAAGGCTTTCCGTCCCTGTGCCCTTCTCTGTAGAGCTTTGCAGATGTTTCAGTGCATCCCCTGTCACTTGATAGCGAGGGTTTAGGATGACAGATCTCTGTAATTTGATGAGTGCTCTGCTCGTCCCAGCCCCCGGGGGAGTGGGTGAGTTGGGGGTTCAGACGACAAACTTGGCTGCTCCATCTGATTATCTGCTGTCCATAAAGGAAGGTTTCAGAGGGTTTATTTTTGCAGGGTTTCTTCTAAAGCCAGCAATGCTGAGCTGCTCTCTTGTATTTTTTGGTTGTTGTTTTGTTTTCTTGCTTTTGGGCTTTGTTTTTTCTTCCATCCCTGTGTATTTATTTTTTGCTGTTTTTAAGGAAATGCCCAGGTACCATACAGCACCCTGCCAAAGCAGGAGGCCCCTCTTCAGTATCCAGTTGCATTTGGGCACTTGCTTGTCCTTGCATTCCCTGCCAGGGCTCTCTCTGTTAAGCACAATGCTGTTTTGGCTGCAGCGTGTAGGACGCTCAGGCAAACTGCTCACTCCAGCTTTCAAACACACACAAATACATTTCCTCTTACAACTTGACAGAAGACCCAGCCCACCCCGAGGCTCAGGAACACACGGCACCTGCCTTGCTCTTCACACGGCGTCCCTGGACTGTGGCCAGGGCGAGTTCCAGGGGCTCCGTCTGCATCCATCCACCGACTGCCAGGGGCTTCAGCAAACACAGTTTGGGCTTTCTCTCAATCAGATCAGCTTACTGCTTTGTTAACTGCACGCACACGCTCTGCAGGTGGTTCAAGAATATTGTATCACCTGGGCTTAAAGACTGAGTCTAGTTAACTATGTGGGTTTTAAGGCAAACTTGAAATTAAAATGAAACAAGGCTGCGTAAAAAGGATTTACTGATTTGGTTTGGGGTCCCGTCGCCTCGTGTGCGTTTGTGCCAGATGCCTGTCCTTGCTGCTCAGTGAGGGGCTGAGCTGCCCACTCCCCTCACATCATCCCTGGACCAAGCAGCCCTCCCTTGGCAGTCCCAGCCCTCCCTGCTCGGATTTTCTCCGCTGGTGCATGGGCTCAGCCGTATGCTGCAGGTCGGTCACGGCTCTGCTGCTCCGCTTTCAAGGCTGTGGCCGTTCAGTGTGTTGGAGAACAGTGGGCTTTGGGTGGGGCAAGGTGTGCTGGCTGTGGTTTGAAATGTACCCGTGTCCATTCAAGGGTGAGGGATGTTGGGAGAACGGCTGGGGAGGTCTCTGCACCTGCTGAGGCACAACGGAGGAACCTCTGGAGAAGCTGCTGGTGTCGGTGTGTCCTCTGCACCCCTGCCGGGGGAAGGAGTGGTTCTGCTACCTGGCATGGCCAGGCTGTCCCTCTGGGATGGAGGGCTTGCTCCATGCATCTCCTCTGTTCTCCTCACCATGAACCTGCCCCCGTGTGCCTGCTGAGTGAGGCTGGGCAGTGACAGCACCAACCTCTGCGAGCTCTGGCCCGCCAGGGTTCCTTTGGTGTTTCCAGCCTGTCACTGATGCCTGGTGCCAGACACTTGGTGTTGGTTTTGTCAGATTTGTGAGCGGTTTATATTGCCTTACCGACTTCTACAGTTTTCACGACTGTGGAACAGAAGAGCCTGTTTGCTTTTGTACGTTGCTTGGCAATCACAGAAATAACAAGAGAGTAATTATTTTCCGAAAAATGACGAGCTGTGTTTATTTGCCTTCCTGAGCCCTGATCTAGTGAGACTTCTCCAAAGCCTGCTGCTGTTTGCTCAGTGTCTCCCCAGGGATTGCAGAGCGATGTCCTGCTGCTGGTACCAGGAGTCTGCAGATGCTCATGGGATCACAGCATCATGGAACAGGCCACGGACCTCTGCAGATGTCATCTGTGCCCTCCCTAGGCAGGGTCAACCAAAGCAGGTTCCCCAGGAGCATGTGAGGCCCCAAAGCTCGGGGCAGTCTGCTCCAGTCAGAGCTCTCCTGGTGGCAGCTCCCTCTCTGGGGGCTGCAGCTTGCCCTGGTTGTTGCAGTGCGGGAAGTCCAGAGCCCAGGGCAGGCAGGGCTGCTCCCAGGGAAGGTGTGTGGGGACAGTATCCTTGTCCCTCTCTGCTGAGGGGGCCTGAGCCCCGAGGTTAGATTCTCTCTGGTTCTCAGTGTGCCGTGACTTTTCTCCTCTTAAACACGGATCTGTTCTGGGAATGCTGCGTTTGTCTTCGTCCTGGGCTGTGCTGTGACCTGTGGCAGTGTCACAGTGGCTCTCTAGTGGCAACACAGCTGGTCACCTTCCTGCTCAGCCTCTTCTGTTTGGGTTTGTGTGTGCCTGTTGTGCTCTTTTCTCCCCCCCTTTCCCTTGTGCCATCAGCCGTGTCTGCAGCTCAGCCTGGATTCAGACAAGCTCCCATCCATGTCCAGGAGCTCCGGACACACGGAGCCCCGGACAGACACACGGAGCCCAGGACAGACACATGGAGCCCCGGACAGACACACGGAGCCC